GTACGCCATGCAAAGCTGTCTCACATGTCTGCCAATGGAAACTTCCGAAGCATGTCCCTATCATCTGTCTGTTCGTCTTCAGGTTTCCTACGCCACCTAGTAACGTTTGCCCTCTCTCAGGACATCACCATACTCCTCCAACGGACTTCTGATAAGCTTGGTCTCCTTCCAGAGATTGGGGGTCAAGAATCCGTAAGAGTTGCTGACTGCCACGAACGTCGCCTTCAGAGTGTTCTCCAGGGTCTTTGTGCTGCCGGCCGAGGAAGTGTAGGCATCTTGCACACCGGCAAGTTGTAGCAATCTCTTGACAGCGGGTGAAGCGACGAGACCGGTGCCTCGGGGAGCGGGGATCAATCGAACGGTGACAGAACCGCACTTGCCGGATTCTTTGGTGGGCAGGGAGTGAGGTTCACCGAGGTTGGTGCCCCAGTAGCCTCGTCGAATGGGAAGAACGGAGAGTTTGGCGATGATGATGGCGGCGCGAATGGCGGTTGCGACTTCCTTGGAGGTTTTGATGCCGAGACCGACGTGGCCTTCGCTGTCGCCAATGACCACGATGGCCTTGAATCGGGTACGTTGACCGGCGCGGGTCTGCTTCTGGACGGGTTTGATCTGTAGATCAAGACGGACTCGTCAGTAAAACACAGGGGAAACACTCTGCCTGGAGGCATTTTTGGTCTTGCCCTCCAGAACATCCATCCTTGGATTGTGACTCCTCACCTTCATGACCTCGTCCTTGAGTTTGGGCAAGAACCAGTCAACGATCTGGTACTCCTTGATGGGGAGAGAGTGCAGGTAGATCTGTTCCATGCTCTGAATCTTCCCTGCCTTGACGAGACGACCCAGCTTGGTCACCGGTTGCCATTCCTTCTCGTCAGACTTTGCACCACCGCGGCGCGGGCCTCGTCGTCCTCGCCCACGGTCACCTCTGCCTCGATCTCCACGACCTCGATCACCGAAACCGCCGCGTCCTCGGGGAGCGTCAGCCATGTTGTAGAATTGCGCAGAGGATGGATTGTCGGGAAGGGGGGCGCAAGTTGTAGGGTAAGTCTCTGGTGAGTTTTTGGGTGGAATCAGTCAATCCGCACTTTGGAAGATTCGCAAATTCACGCCAAGAGATTGTGTTTTGGGGTTGTGGGCTAAACCGGATATGGATGTGCGGATTGACTTTCAGAGATGGCAGCCTCTCCGCCACCGGCGCCAGGGCCAATGACGCATTTGCAAACCCTGGAAATCAGAAGTCCACCAGATCGCCCTCCCCCAATATTGATATTTCAATCCGCTTCCACATAGCTTGACCGAAGTTGAGGAGCTTAACGGGACGATACTATGTTAAGTCACTGACTTGTCTACCAACTCGTATATCACAGCGGAGGAAGGAAATATGCCGATACGATGGTTCGCCTTATCAAGAGCTCCTTGCTGAATGTCAACGACTCACTCTGAACCAGGTATCAAGCAAAGCTGGCAAAGCGGCCGCTGTTGACCCAGTCCGTTACCACTGCTGTAATGACCATGACTCCAATAATCTCTCCGAGATTCATTCGGCTGACCAACAAAGGTGCTTTTTGCCGCGGGCGACACACTTGCACAGCAGGCTGTGGAACGGAAAGGATTGAGAAATCATGACGCCACTCGGACAGCTCGAATGGGCTTATATGGCGGCTGTGAGTTAGACATTGCCAGGATACTGTGGACGAGCTGACCAGGGTTAGTTGTATTCGGACCAGCAGCCACCAAGTGGTATGCCTTCCTGCAGAAGCGTATCAATTTCCAATCTCACAATCTCACAATACTGGCGCGAGTCGCCGCGGACCAAACGGTCTTTGCGACCTGCAACCTTGCATTCTTCCTCTCGACCATGTCGGTATTGGAAGGAAGTGACCCCAAAGAGAAACTTGCCAAGAACTACCTTCCAGGGCTCAAGGCAAATTGGGCACTATGGCCCGCAGTCCAGGCTGTGAATTTCAAGCTAGTGCCTCTTGAGCATAGGGTTCTGGTCGTGAATGTTGTGAGTCTAGGCTGGAACTGTTTTTTGAGTTATCTGAACAGCTCGAAATGAGGGTTGGCATAGCTAGGTATGAAGAACTGGTTGGTCTTGTGCATGGGCACGTTATAGCATCTTTTGAGACAGCTTGACAGCATGACTCGAGCTATGGCATCTGCGAACAGAGTCCACCAGCTACATTAGAGAAGGAAACCATCTAGGACAATGAAGAATTCAGGAAGAGAATTGATAGAAGAGAGCAATCGAGAGCCGAGAACAACCGGGACGTTTGTATTTGTGCCACGATGTAAGCTAAACCAAATTCGTAGTATGCGGATTTTATTTCATGCGCCGCTGGCTGCTGCACCGAAGAGCAGGTTCAATCTTCACCCACAGCAGTCTCGAAATCTTGACGTGTGTTCTTGCACTTTGTACAAGTCACTTGAGCAGTCGCTTGCTCCTACCCAGCCATATTCTAGTTCCCCTTTTCTCTTGCAGTCAAGGGTGTTCGCATTCAACCAAATTTTGCCACAGCCTGTTGACGGCGCGAACGGGTGTCCATTCGACTTTTTCCCTCTTCCTTCCGTGCGCCTTTCACTTCGTCGTGCCTTTGCATCGATTCTTTCTTCTGCCGCTTAGGTTGCAGACTTAAAATCCAGAGTCCTCGACTTTCACCATCATGGCCGAAGTCGAAATGCCCCAGCCAGTTCCTGGCCCCGTGTCAAGTGAAAACGGTGCGCCCTCGACATCTGACGATATCAAGACCATCTTCCACGATGTCAACAACTTCAACGTCAAGCACCCTCTTCTCAACACCTGGAGTCTCTGGGTAGGTCGAAACAGTGCACTTTGTTCACTTCTGGACTGACTCGACGTGAACAGTTCACCAAGCCGCCCTCCTCGAAAGGCGACAACTGGAACGATTTGCTGAAAGAGGTGATCACATTTGATACAGTCGAGGAATTCTGGGGTGTATACGTATGTTCACGCAGAGCACTTCGACAACTTGTCTAACGTGACTATAGAACAATATCACAGCCACCTCCGACCTTGCCGTCAAATCTGACTATCACCTCTTCAAGCGAGGGGTACGACCCGAGTGGGAAGATCCCCAGAACAAGCACGGTGGCAAGTGGTCATACACGTTCAAGGATAAGAAGGCCGTCAACATCGATGAACTATGGCTACACACGCAACTGGCGGCGATTGGTGAGACTTTGGAAGACGACGGAGATAACGAGATCATGGGCGTGGTTGTCAACGTGCGAAAGAGCTTCTACCGAATCGGATTATGGACTCGCACCACGGGAAAGGCTGGTGGCAAAGACACACTGATGAAGATCGGTGCTAGGTTCAAGCAAGTGCTTCAGATCCCCGACAACGATCAACTCGAGTTCAGCGGTCATACAGACGCTGCGCATGCAGGCAGCACCCGGGCAAAAACAAAGTATACTGTTTGATGGAGCTGTCGAAACACGAGAGCATTCTGGTTACGGCACGTCGCTTTGGGCAGGCATGCCTGGACATCGGGCTTTCAATGGCGTTTGATCAAAGGGGGCGGTAACACCGGTTTGAAATACGAGGCAGGGAATACCTTTGCATGTTTATCCACGATATGAGCATAGCGGCAGTGTGGGCACTGGAGCGCACCCAGATACGAGCTTGATATTTGATGCATTAACAATGGTTCTACTCGTCGAGAGCCGCGGTGGCTGGACCGATCCAGTGGTAGTCTCTCCATCTGGAGGAGAAGGAGGAATGAGCACTTTAGCCCTGATCTCAATGGTCCTATTCCTGTACTGTTGCCTGAACATACCTTTGGATGTACTCTGTGGACGCTGATGGGCGCTGCAACCAGCTAGTGGCGAGAATGTTGCCATTAGGAAGAATGAAGCCGCAGGCAGTATGTCACATTTTGACTTAAAAGCCTCTTCCTCCCTTTTCTTCCCGCTCAATGTCTTTCGTCTCCTGTGTCTTTCCTTCGACTACGCGAATGCCCAGGGAAGGTACCAAGAGCTGCCGTACCGGCATGTACATATATGCTGTCCCCAGTCATCTCCTCTTGTCTCGCCTGAAGACGCCGTACAACCATGACCCCTTCGTGTATGCGAGCTGGTTGGAGTTGCGTGGGAAATGAGCCACTGGTCTTCTCCTCCCTACCCGCAGATGCTTGAGCTGATGTCGTGCCAAAGGTCCTTCTGCTCGGTCACCTGGCTTACCTCCATGAGCGTCTCACCAGAATGCCATTTGACAAACCTAGTCGGGCATCTACTGCGGGCGATGTCCCGCCGGGCATCTTCGGCAGCATCTGACATGCTGTCCAACCACGCTTGGACATACCGGGTTTGGTGCGGCTGAAGAGCTGGCAGCTCGTTGGAAGATACTCCAACCGGTGACAAGGGTCTGCATATTGAAACATTTGGGTCTGTTAGGCACTTCGTCTGCGTGAGGCAGCCGATTGGATTGCTCCGTCGTCGCACCGCTGCCCTGCTACCAAACGCCCGATTCAGCAGACCACAAAGTGCTTCTATGCTTCGTTCTCGCGCATTCACCTTCTCGCCACATCCAGCACCCGACTTCTGATCGGGTAGCTGCTGCAATGACATCCGTCTTCCAATGATACCACCGCTATACCCCTCGTTTTGCTGGCTACCCAGACAGAGATAACGTGCTGGCATTCTAAAGCGAGCCAGAGCAGATGATGGGCTCAAGTGAACTACACTGTGCTCTCTGCACTCAATCCATCTAACGCGAAGTCAGTCTCACGGTTTGCGTTGGAATTTGTTCATAAACTCCGCCTGCGGTCGCCTCGTCGCCTGGTCGTCTTTGTTTCCCTTTCCCACTCCTCTGGTTCCCCACGCGATTTGCGAGCCATCACTCCTCGGTTGCTGTATTGTCAGGCATTGTTAGGCATTGTTCCTCTCTTCAGCCCGAACAGCGCCTGACGTCTATCCGTGCTGTCACTCCGTCGGAGCCGAAAACACGGTTGATTAACGCTTGACGCTGAGAACAAATGGGGCGGTATCGGCGGCAGACAGGTCACCTCCAAGGCACCTTTGAACCTCCAAGGATTCAGCCCAGTCAAAGGCCCGGCCAGTCCGGCCTGTACTCGACGCAGCCCCAGTACAATCAACTGTCGCAACCTCCGTTTTCGACCCCGGCACTGCAGCCGCATTGGCATTCTGGACAACCTCGCCCATACAGCTTTGTTGTGGCCGAATCTCACAATACTCCATCGACCACAGATGCTCTCAGCCCCGCGAGTACCCGGTCTACGCATTCTCGCGGTAGCGTGGCGACCCCGACAAGCACAAGCTATACTGCAGCACTGGGATATGTTCCGACGATTCCTCAAGATGCTGATGGCACCTGCAGCCCAAGCGCCAGCCTGCCGACATCCCATCCCGCCGAATATGCCGGTAACCAACCCATGAACCCAGCAGCGTTAGCTGTCGACCACAGGTGGGAAGCAGCCCGTGCGATGACAGGTCAGATCTCATAACTTCAAAATGTCTATCCATATGATTTACTGACTCGCTCAACCAGATGCTGCTGTTGTGGGCGTCGACCCTCGCGCTTCCGTTGACGAGCTATCTCATTATCCAGATCCAGCCGGGCAACAGCGATTCCCTGGTCAGAACCAACCGTGGAGTACACAGCTACTCCGTCAAGAAAATCTATATTTCAATACGGGGCCAAGATCTCCGGTGATTCCCGTGCTACACTACCGCCACTCGCTCACGATTCGTGAAAGAGGCCGCGGCGGTCGGACGAGGCCCCTTAACCCGGTCCAGAGACAAGAGACTCGTGACGTGCGGAAACGGGGCGCTTGTCTCCGATGTGTGATCATGAAGGAAAAGGTTTGTCGACATATCCATATCTGCTGTCGGGAGAAGCTAACACCTGAAAGTGTGATTGCAAGAGCCCTTGTAACAACTGCTTCACCAAAGACCGGCGAAAGTGCCCAAAGTACTGTATTCCCAGTCGTTGCGACTGGGACGTGTGCAAAGTCAGCTTGTTCCCACGTAAGAATCTTCCATCCATTCCGAATACAGTCACTGACCAGACAGATGAATTGACGTCCCGCCTACGAAAAGAGTATCTGGTCCCCTATCTTGCTAACACCACCATTTGTGTTTCCCATCGGCCTTTCTGGCTCCAGTTGGAGCTGCACATCGGAATCCCTTTAGACGTTTTGGTTATGGAGTTTTCGCCTCCAGAACCAGATTGGGAGACGCGCTACGCATTCGAGACATCTTACGATTGTAACGGGGAAAAGACACTTGCCAGAGATCAAAACTGGAATCCACCAATCGTCATGTTCATTTGTAACGGCGGGTTCGAAAAGACGGTAGCGCAAGTTCGCAGTAAACTAGTTGGGATATTTGACCAAGTGTTGAACGATCCCCAGCGATACGTTACGTGGACAGAGCAGTACTTTGAGGACGAGGATGAAGCTTTCCAGTGCAACATTCTCCGCCTTATCGGCAGATACTATAGGGACGACATAGCGGAACATTCCATTCTCAAGGATTCTCTACAGCTTTTGTGGTTCGAGTATCTACTTCTAAACAGATTCGTCGTTCCAGCCGAGGCGGTATCGGCTCTCCAAGACAATCTCAGCTCAAAAGGACGATATGGTGCTGGTCAGTATGCGCACGTCATACCAGAGACGATCAACCGCTTTCTGAAAGCGACGCTCCTCCCAGGGGCCGAGAGAGCTGCGGAGAGGCTCCTGAAAAGTCTCCACGACATGATGTTTAAAATGGCTGTTAGCCAGAAATCATCCCAGAGTAGCAGGGATTTGGTCTTGTGCATGCTTTTCATTTTGGTCATATACGTTGGCCGAGCCCAACTCGGCATATTTATGATTCCCCAAATGCCGGGGATGAAGGAAGAAACGGGGTGCTCCCAGGAACAAGCCGAGGCCAAGATCGAAGAGATGGAGCAAAGAGTGTGTGACTTCCTTTTGTCCTTCCACAAATACGCCCTGAGCAGAACGTCTTCCAGGTCGTTGGCGGCATCTGGTGAGCCTGATTCTCCTAGTGAGCGTCACGCCCGAGCATTTGGGTTGGAGAACAAATTGCGGCACGAGATTGAGGAGCACGGTAAGCTTGATGCTTGCCCCTCACATTGGAGGCTCGGATCTAACCAAATTGCAGTGAGCGAAAAACCCGAGAGGCTGGAGCCGGGCGAGTTTGACATGAATACGATCCGGTACTTGAATGTGCGGCGGTTATGTTGGAAGGTGATTGAGAACATGAAGTAAGGAGCTGGATGTCAGATAAAATCAGGATAAAGCGTTGAAATGAAATGATCTAGAGTTTTAGAGAGACAAGACAATGGCAGTTCACACGCATGGTTGAGGCTGAGCAATCAGGCAAACATGGCAACACGGCAACCTTGAAGGGGTGGAAGAAATCTGTTGAGACAGGGGATCTAATAGCAAGTCTATCGAGTCTATCGAGTAGGCCACCGTTGACATTGCCGAGCCAAAATATGGCAGCAGCAGTGATGGTGGTCATGGTGGTGGTGGTGGTGGGGATGATGATGGTGATGTTGATGGTGTTGATGTGGTGAATTGTTGTTACATGGCATGACGTCACAGCCGGTCGCCCAACCTGCAGCTTTGAAACATGCCAGACGCCCATGAATAATAATCAATCAATAAGTAACGCCAATGCTCCGTCTTCTCCGCCCAAACACCATTCCGTGCCTTTCCCATCCTAGATAACCTCCCCCATATGTCTTGTCCCAGGGTTGCCCCAGAGCCTTTTCTCCTTGCCCGTACGCTCAATACCCATACATGTCAACCGCCCTTCTTGTTGCAGTGCTAGGGAGGTATGTCTCTAAAAGGGGGGAGGGGTGTTGGAAGAGGAACCCCGTCGTATATCGGTAGGGGGTCGCATCACAGAGACTGGCTTCTAGGTCAGCAGTTGCTTTGGACGATGAGATGGGCTAAGTACCTCTTCTCCCTTCTCCCCCTGTGCCTTTTCATACCTAGCCGGCCGCGGCCATTACCTTGTGGGCTTCTGTGCACCCCAAGCTGCGACTTGTTAGCACCTATACGTCACCCACTCCAGGGTATACATGGGGTGACTCACGGCCAATTGGCTTTGTTGGCTTGGGTTCGTCGGTCCCTTGGGAACTTGTCAGGACAATGGTGCTATGCCTGGCGTACTTGGTGGTGGTGGTGGTGGTGTTCAAAGTTTGGCCGGCCATCGTTGAGGTTGGAAGGCGTTGAGATTAAACTTTCTGCAAGGAAGATTGGCGAGGCTGTCCGCGGTCGAGCTGGCGATATGGTGGTGAGATATGTTCGTGCTTTGTTGTGTATGCGTGAGAAGAAAAAGGAAAACGGGCGAGGACGTCGCCTTCCTTATAACACCAGCGGCACCCCTGCTCCCGGCTGAGCCTCTAAAAGTGAAGCAACCAGAGGCACAACGACAGGGGTCGGTCGTGTAGGGGAGCGAGCTTGGAGACCACAATCCCCTTCCGCAAAAGCAGTGCAAGAGGGATCGTCCCGCGTATCATTTGTCGAGGGAAGGGAGGCGGAGAGAAAGATTACAGCCGGAGACGAAGGCGATACTGGATTTCCCGTAATGGCACAGGTAGGTGGCAAAACATCAAACTGTCAACGAGACCACGTGGAATAGGGGCGTCTGGAAGTCCATATGGGTCGAGTGAGGCAATAGGCAATCGGAGGCAAGCATTGACAAAGTCCCTTGGGAATGCCAGAAAAAGATTGCAAAATGGAAATTGTGAAATGTTTTGCGGACACATGGGGGGCATTTCAGTATCAAGTCTGACGGCTGGCCGCAGATGCCAGACAGCCGGGGCAGACTCCATCCGGGCAGGAAAGCAGCATGGTTTCGAGATGGCGGAACAATGGGATTCTTGGGTTCGGATTGAGACAGGGAGATATGACGGAGGGCGGGCCGTCAACTATTCGTCGGTTGGTCAGGAAGTACCGCCACAGGACTTGAGGCTAAGCCCAGCAAGGGAATCCACAAACTTGCCCTTGTCTCCAATACACAGATGCGAGATTCTGGTCGTCTGCGCGGTGACGGCGATGGGGACGGAGGCGGAAGACGGGAGGGACTAACTAACTGCCCCCAGTTCTGTCCGGCTGCGCCTCGCAGGGTGAGACTCGCACGCCAAACATTGTCAAGGACAATAAAGGGACATTGATTGGACCCGACGCAGTGAGGGAATTGGGCAAGGCTGAATGAAATGGATGGGGAGAAACGTTGGAACCAGACGAAACTCGGGTAAGCAGAGTTATGGATGAGGAACAAAAAAATACACGGGTGTGCGGTGTGAGTCAAAACACAGCGCAGCCCACTTGTGACAGCATGCGAGAAAAGTCAGAAAAGCAGAAAAGCAGCCCTGTCTCGCACGCGCTTGGGAGCTGACGAAGGGGGAAAGGGTGGGAAGGTGGTAGAACCGCTGAGCACCGCCTCCCTACCACCCGGCGTGATTCAGACAACAAGAAATCAAAAGTTTGAGCCAAAAAAAACCAAAGAGAGTCAGGTAGGCTGGGGGAATCTTTGGTGTGGAAAGGCAAGAGAGAGAGAGAGAGAGGGAAAAAAGGCAACAACGTCGGGTTGTTTGCCCCAGGCTGAATTCTACCCAAAGTCGTCCCAGGCCCCGAGTGGTTCGCGAATCATAATTCCAAGGTGTGAGGGAGTGGGTCGTATGGTGCGAGGGACTCGGTCACGAGGAGAGCTAGTCCCAGTGAGGAAAGACTCTGGAAGCCATGGAAGGCCCTGGCGGGGCTGTGGGGCGGGACGGAGAGACGAAATGTGGATCTCTTCGGGGAAGGACAAGGAAGAGGAGTACAAAAAGTAGCCCCGGGCATGACGCAACAACTCAAGGGGTGGCACTAGGGGGGGGGGGGGGGGGGGAGAGGCTGAGATGATATGAGAGTGAAGGAGTGAGCAAGTCGAATCTCACTACTGTGCAATCGAATCATACGGGGACACTTTCCTCAGTGTCTCTTGAGTATTCGTACCGTAGCGTAGTCGTAGGGTTTCTGGGAAACACGGGCTGAAGGCTGCGGGCTGCGGGCTGAAGAAGGCGGTTAGCAAAGTCACACAAGGACAAGGACAAGGACAATGGCAAGGGGTAAGAAAGAGATTCTGGAAAGATTTGGACTTCTTCTACGAGCACGAGCATGAGCACGAGCCCGAGCGGACTCTAGCGAAATTGGGTGCAGGGGTGCGAGAATCTTTTCTGGTCGTTCTAGAAGACAGCCCGACGGCCAGACAGGCGGCAAGGCGCCTTGACGGAGACGCTTTGATGGCGGGTAATTGTGTAAGTGACGAGGAGGACCCCCCGTCCGGGTAGGGCATTTCAACCGATCACCCTCCTCTAACTTACCTACGAGTATGTACCTACGGCGACACGAGCTGCTTGGCCAGAATTGGCTGGCACAACAGCATGGATATCCCCAGGGGGGGGGGGGGGGGCTTGAGGGCGAGAGGTAGGGCATTTGGAAAGGGTGGAGAGGGTGGACAGGTACAGTAGGTGGTGGATGGCTGATTGAACAAGAATGCACCCAGACCGGGCTGGTCCTTTGAAAGAAATACAGCGGGTTGAAAATAATACATGGACCCTTCACTCTTGAGCCTGGTACCCTGTACCTCGTCGCTCGGACTTGGTAACTACAGAAAATCGCACAGCACGGCGCAGTAGACACACGTACGAGCAGGTAGGTAAGCAGCGAGTTAGGTAGATAGATACCGCGTAAATAAAAAAATAAGCAGTGTTGGTGGTGGTGCTGATGGTATCGCGGGACGTGGAACATAGATCCGGTTGGTGACACCCCTCCCCTTTCCCGCTTCTCCAATATCCTTGTCAAGGTTGCTGGGATAGGTACACGAAAAAGGGTGACACCCTTGCAACTAATTTTGGGGCGGCTGGAGAATGGAGGCTGGAGGCTGGAGGCTGGAGCGCAGACGACGAAGGGAGGGAGCAGAAGAGGGAGGGAGCAGAAGGGGGTGGGGGTATTAGATTACGGAGTACGTCAGGACAGGGCGTCGTCAGGTACGTCAGGAGAGGCAAGTCAGGACAAGTCTGGACAGGACAGCGCTGGATGGCTGGTATTATGGGAACGGGCAGGGCAGGGAAACTGGAGTACACGGAGAGAGAAAGGAGAGAAAGTGACTTGAGTTGAGTTGACCTGACCGGAATGGGCTGGATTGGACTGGGGCAGTAGTGGTGGTGGATCGAGAGGCCAACCCCGGGACCGACACCCATGAAACCATCAACCATGAACCGTGTCCACCTACCTGCCTGCCCTACTGTATATCTCGCGTAGCAATACAATGACAATCCAACCGGACATGGATACCTAGTTGCCATGGAGAATCTTTCCACCCTCCCTTTTCCAGATGCTCGTCCTATCAGGCCAAGTCACCTCCACTCAGCCAACACTTCTAACTAGACAGATAGCTACCAGATCGACCGTTGTGATGGCATGGGTAATAGTCCGTTTGATGATTATCAGCGACGAGACACAGGAACAACGAGAGTGGATGCACGACACACCCAATGGCTAATGCCAGGGCCAGGGCCAGGATGCCTGCGATACCACGATGCCACGTGGCAGAGGCGCCGCCATTTTCAGCCCAGAGTCCCCACTTGCCGGCGTGCAGGTACCAGTAGGGGGCCGAGAAGAGGGATGAGATAGATAGAGACAGAGATCTTGGAGCAATGCTACGGTGGAGAGGGCTGTCTACTGCCTAGCCGGGCATTAGCGCGGAGGCTTTAGACAAGGGGGTGGGTGAAGAGGTCACAAGAGGAACCAGGACGAATAGACCGGGTGCTCTGCGGCCAGTGAACAGCCGTTTCGAATTCAGCTCTGTTGTCAGTTGCCAGGACCGTAGACAAGCTAGTGCAGGGGGGGGGGGGGTTTGTGACGAATGCAAGCAATAATAGGAACTGCGAGGTAAGGGGTCATCCAAATTGGTGCGCTGGCCAATCACCAGCCAACAGACTGAGGCAAGTGATCAAGCACCCAGCAAAGCTAAGCGCAAAACCCGACAGATCCCTGTATACCGAGTACTTGTACTCGTACGGTACAAGGAGGGCAAGATCGACGAATCCATGTTGCCATGTACTCGCCTGGTCTTCCTTTCGTCAACGAGCTCATCCTTAAACATACTTGTGTCTTTGTCTGCCACCATCATTGGAATCTTGACACACCCAGGAAATGAAGTAAAATGGCTAGAGCAAGATGGGCCGGAAAGGGGGAGCACCAGGCCTCCGACGCGAGGGCCAAATACACATCCGTTTGGTGCGTTTGGTATGGTATCAACGATACCGGTAGGCGGTTGAAAGACAAGGAATATCTAGTAGTTGTTGAAAGGAGACTCTCCAGAAGCTTCATCTGTGCAAAGTTCCCTGCAGCATCCTGGAATAACGATAATTGGCGGGACGCAAAGGAAAGGTTAACTCTCAGGGTGAGTTCGGGGCTTTTTCTTCTGTATGCCCCGTTTACCGCTGGTGGCTTGCAGGAGGAGATGTGGAGAAAGTCAAGGTCAAGTTCTGTGTTTTCGAATGTTCAACTTTCCGCAAGTAGGTTCGTTTGTGATCGCCAGAGATGTTCCGTCATGTTCAGCTGGAAAAGAAATCACTCATTGTAAGTTCGCACCACGGGTTAGGGTCTTGTGATACCCTCGTTTGAGGTGCAGGAATGGCCCGTCTATTCCTGGTAACCTTCTGGAACACTGCCTAGTTGGTATGAGTCACTGCAAGAGCACAAGGTACAACCAGGATCAGGGATGCGAAATGAGATGCTTTAGCGGATTTGATGCAGCGGGCCAGGGGCAGTTTGCGACAGAGGGGGACCGGAGACTGAGCACTGGACAGGTCTGTGTATGCCGTGCCTCGAGTCCTACGGGTACAGATACGTGACTATTGTACCAAGCAGGACTTATGAGGTGGTCATCAGCCACAACAGGCGACCTTGGACCCACTGACAAAATAGTCTATCGAGTGATGAAGATGCTGAGCGGGAAACAGAGTTGTGTAGCGCCACGGGGAGGTCTGTGGTATCGCCCTCGCCAGCCAAAAGCTGCTCCATCTCTTTGTCCCTGGGGAGCGGCCTCTGAGATCCGTAAGTAAGCCAAGGATGAGGCAAAGAGACGGCGTACAAACCCCAGCCAATCGAGGGCTCGGATGCCAAAAAGAAAAGAGAGGGTGACGGAAGGATGACGGGTTCAGTAGTGGAGCAGGACACACACAGGGTCGGACAGGAAGACAGACGCCGACAGAGTTGTGGCATCGGCACCCTGGACAAGCCTGCGCAGGCAGACATGGGCAGGGCTTGGACTTGGGAGCCGATGAGGGAGGGGAGCTCGAGACGGATGATTTCCAGTTGCAGAGTAGAGGCACTAGATGACGAGATGGGTCTGGAAGATGGAGCAAAGTAACGGACAGTTCTCTGGCAGCCTACTTGCCAGGACCCGTACGAGTGCAAGTAACTAGCACTGGGCGGGTAGAGAGATGAATGAATGCACAATTTTGCGTACAAGTAGACATAGAGGGGCAGTGACCTTGGCTTGGCCCACTTGCCATCTTCGCATCTTCCTGCGTGCCCCTCTTGTGCCTCTTCCGAGATCGACACTTCATCACTAGATGTACCATGACACCTCCAGCAGATACCACCAACACCACCGCCATCCTTGACAAAACTCAATCCTGAAATTCCACAGTTCGGAACTCAGCCTTTACCGTTTTGCCTTTTTGCTTCTTTCTTTCTTCTCCTTGACTCTGACCTTGTCCTCGCTTATGCCTCACTCTATCTCGTACATGCACGGGGCCTACACCCCGTTTCCTCTTCTGGCGACCCGAGGGAATGACGCTCAGATCCTCTGCCCACCCTAGCCTGCCTGCCTGCTACCCGTACACATACCTCCTTGCCTGGCTACCCACCTACCTACCCGACTTTACCAAACCCATGTACCTTACCTACCCTACCTACCACCTACCCACCTGCTCATATTCCCTCTGCACGCCCTTGCAAATACCTCTACTGCAAGAGCCGTCAGAACGCCTCGCTGGGAGGGGGCGCGGGCACGTTTGGTGAGGCGGGGCTGGGTGGCTATGAACGCCATCCTCGCGGACAAAATAACATGCCAGTCCGCTCGTAAATGACATAAAAGTACAAGTAATAGGCGAACAAGAAAAGGCAGACAGACAGACAGACATGAGATGGATCCGATCCACAGGCCACAGGGACAGACGTTCGGCAACAAGACACCGCCCCCAACCCTCGGTCGCTGCCACCGCCGTCGCCATCACTGCCCCTGCTGCCCCTCCTGATTCAGAGGGGTGATGGCTGGACAGATAGATGGTTGTCAGAGTAAACGAGACATCTGTGTGGGACGACAGATAGACGACGTGTGTATTCAGTGACTTTGTGTGCGAGAAGCTGTGGGCCAGTTGTTGAGATTCCGTCCCGTGCTCCGCTCTGCTCGACTGGCTTTCTGAACAAATGTGCATACATACATACTGGAAGAACACAGCGGCGAAGGGGGCTCAAACGAACACCTGGGAAGAGGATGAGGGGAGAAGACCCAGTCCCGTGCACTCCTCTCTTCGAACTTCTCGAAATCATCGTCGTCGCTAGCTTTACTCTCTAGCACTACGCTCTCTTGCCCATTGGGTCAAGATCTCATTTCAGTAGAGGTTGTAACATATACAACCATATTCTTTTTTCCCGCTCGCGTTATATCAGTCGCTCTGTGCCGAATCCTCAGTGATGCGTCCGACCAGTGACCGTGACCTTGATAATGCTCGAGGCAAAAGGTCAAGACCACCCAGAGCTATAGAATCCTACTGCAAAGTGAACACAATCACGATTGCACACCCCCTGCCATCTCTGTAACCTCTCCGCCCTCGCCCCTCGCCTCAGTCCCTTCCTCAACCAGCTTCGGCCTCCGCTTCTTCTTTTTCTTCTTCTTGACAGACCCTTCTTCGCCATCGTTGTCTTCTGCCTGTACCTGAATCCGTTCCTCGCCCGAGTCCAATCCAACCTTGGGCCTGGGCTTCTTCTTTTTTCGCCTCACGACCGTGCCCTCAGCATCCACCCCCTCGCCCATCACCGTCCCCTGCCGTTCAATTTCACGCTGCATCTCGAGCCTCTTCTTCTCCACCTCGCGCAGCGCAATCGCCATTTCCAACTCCTCGGCTTCGCGGCGGAGGATCTCCGACTCGGTCTCTGCGGGACCTTCGAGGCTCAGGTTTTGGAGCGTCGACGAGTCGACCGACAGGAGTGTGCGGGTTGGCCGAGACTGTGTGCGCGGTTGGGCGTTGGGACTGAGTGAACGGGTCCGCTGGGCCTGGTCTAGGGCGGCAAAGGGGCTCGTGTTCGAAAAAGACTGTGAGGTGGGTGTGGTCGCGGTGGAGGCTTCGAGGGTCTCATCTGCGGCGACGACGAACCGCCGGGTAGGTTTCTTTTTTCGCGGTCTGCGCTCCTCTCCTGTCTCTCCTCTCGCCGCCGTTGTCTGGGTCCGATCGATTTGTAGATCGATGATTGGGATCGAGTCGACGTCGAGTTCATCATCGCCGTTAGTCTTGCTGATGATGTCGTGGAACTGAGGGTCCGTATCGTCGGACGGGGCAATGTAGAATGGATCGTCTTTGTTCCGAGCCATCCTCTCGGCCTTTCGCCTGGCTAGAGTGTTGGGTGACTCGGGTGCCGATTGATATGACAGCGGTGCAGTCTCCGAAGCAGCGGCAGATTCCAGGTAAGCAGCTGCTGTTTGCGGCTGTAGCGACGTGATGGCCTGTACGGGTTCACGGTCGTGGTAGAACGACTGGAACACATCATCCCCATGGTCATCAACATCCGCAACCTGCGAATCCTGTAGAATCGTAGACAAGTCGGGATTTATGGGCGCATCGAGGTCTAGATCTTCAGGTGGAGGAACTTTCTTCTGGGCTGCCGCCGATACAGGATTGAGTTCTGCACCGCTGAAGAGTGTTGGAACTGCAGAAGTCAGCAGCAACGGTGCTTGGAGGCTATCTCCGTCCTGAGCAGAGAGCGCCTCTGAAGCTAGGCGTAGAAGTTCGAGGAACTCGACGCTTCTCTCTTGCACCTCGAGGTTGGGATGGGATGAGAGCTTCTCCAGGAACTCGGTAGTTCTGGCAAGGAGAAGCGACATTGTCGCACCCCTTGAGGCATTCCATTCACGGTCAGCCGTCGTAGCAATGCGTGCAATGATTTTCGGGATTGCTTGGACCACGATTGCCAAGGTCGTGGGACTAAATTGCTCAGATGATTCGTGAATCAGTGAATTGAGAACCTCGTATGGGTTAGACAAGTACAGGGCGAATTCGCCACAAATCCATGCTGCCGATTTGATGACCTGACTCTGACCGGTGCCATGTTTCGGGTAGGCGATGGCCCTGTTGGACAGCAAGACTAGAGTTTCAGCTGCCTTTGTCGTTTCTGGTCGGAGTTCCTTGACTCGGACTGTGATATCGCGAAGCTGGCTTCCGACCCGAGCTCCTAGAGAGGTGTCATCCTCGAGTGTGGCTCTCGACGAATTCGCATCCTTGTCCGCCGGGAGGTGTCTGACCAAATGAACTATTATTTCGATATACCACTCGAAATCGGTAATGTTAGCATAAGTGTTGTGAGAGCACATTTCAAGAATTCGATTGATGATTTCGTAGCGGTATTCGTCAGGCAGAGGGACATTTTCCGATCCTCGTTTGTCCGGGATCAGCCTCTGCTCCATGTCTGTCTGTTCTTCTTCGGCGTGTCCATTGGCGCCCACGGTGGCTGCCGCTGAGCCTGCAAGCTGTTTTATAAGGCGATTGACAACAGCTTGTAGGTTGTCGCTGCTGACCATCCCCGACACCAACTCCAACGCCTGCATTTTGATCGAAATGTCAGGGTCGTCCAAGCATCCCATGATGACGTCCTGTTGCATCGAAACGAGTGTAGGATGGGTGGTCACAATCTTGTTGAAGGCCAGTAGAGCAACATATTTCAGATTAGGATCTCCGTCCAACACGATCATTCCCCTTAGTTTGGAAATGCAAAGATCGGCCACTTCTTCCACGTCGACGCCGCTTTCACCGCCATCCAGGATTCCTCCTTGAATAATTCCGCTGATGCATTCGTAAAGTAACGACATTGCTGTTGTCTCTTGAATCAGTTTGGTGAGGGGCCGGACTAGCTTCTTAACTAATCTTGGTTCGAGAGGAGTCAGGACTGCGAACAGTTTGATGATTTTGATACCCATCCAGTTGTTCTTCTGGGCCAGTAGAAGGTCGAATAGCCTGGGTGCCAAAGGCAGAAAATCCTGGGGTCTCCGCCATCCGAGCTCACATACGACGTTGACCGTAGCGGCAGTAACGCTGCTGTCTTCCTGTTCATCTAGTAAACGTTCCTTGATCTTTGGCCAAGCGACTCGCAGCGTTTCAGGATACACCAGGGCCAGCCTGTATAGCGTGACGATGGTCTTCTTCCGCACAGCTGGTTGTGAATGGGACAATCGTGGCAGAAGCTCCGTGAGAATGGAGAGTGCCAGGGACGAAGTCACAATGTGCGGAAGGGTGACCAACGGCAGGGTTAGGACTGGTATTGAAGGAGAGGTGAGATCCTTTTTAAGTAGATTCTCAGCCAACATCAAAACCTCTGTCTCGGGTCGGAAGCTCTGGACAGCAGCGAGATAGCCAACTCGTTTCTGCGCCGGTTTCGGGGAGGCCATGACTTCCAAGACGTTAAAGGCGGCCCAGGTCATGTCATATCCAAACATTTCCAGGTAAATGAGCTTGAGCAATGCGGTGGCCTTGAGGTCCAGGTCCTGGGAACGAATCTCGCTTCGACATTCTTTGAGCGCGGCTTGAATGTATTCCGCCTCATTTCCCTTGTGGCCTCGCAGGCCTCGGATGAGGTCGACCAGTGACTTTTCAAACATATTGAAAGGTTCTTATCAGCATGTCATGAGAGCTGAACGGCCGGTGTTACCCCTGGAATCTGGCGGACCCTCATTTCTCACGCGACACCGATGTTGAGGTTGTGATTCGGGTTGTCCTTTCTTCGAGCGAACAGAAAATGAAGATGCCCTTGTGATGCGCCGCTGCCCCGAGCCCTCAGGATCCAGCACACGTCCCAAACATTCGCGCTTTGATTTCGCCTGTGACCGAAACGCTTTAAAAAGGCCACGGGAGAGAGACGATGATGTGATGAGATGCAACGACGCTGAGGACCTCTTCGTGTGGTGTCAAATGCTCCGCCTTAATGCCAAGGCCAATTATTCCGAAGAAACGGCGTGAACCGCTCGACGGCTTTACAAGGCGCTCACTTGCGTCCTGAAAGCGAATGTGATAAACGAGGAGCTACTACCTGACTTTGCAGTGGCTCTCCAGACTTGATCCTGTCCAGTGTGTTCTCCAATTTACCCTGTGATCCATTGACAGCCTCATTTTGTCCACTCCCTACACAGTACGAATCCTTTAGTAATTCCTCGAAAAACCTATTTAGTCTTGCACGGTCTATATCCTCCTCCAAGCCCAGCACTGGCCGAATCTGTCATAGAATCAGGCAGCAATGGCGACAGTCGCGAGTCGAACCCCTTCTTCCGATCCTGCCTCCGCTCTCCGCATGGCACAGCAGGCTTCCTCAATCCTTGCAAAGTCGTCATCGATCAGTACGACCTTTCCTGCATCAATGTTCAACACGGCGGATTCTGTTGAACTATGGGAAGAGCTTGAACAACTCCTCTATGCGTGCCTACGAACCGGGGACGATAAGTCCGCCTTTCTATGTGTGGAACGATTAAGTCAGAGATTCGGTGCAACCAATGAAAGAGTTATGGCTTTGAGAGGGCTTTATCAGGAAGCCACGGCACCAGATGAGGCAGCACTGCGAAAGATATTAGAAGACTATGCCAAAATACTCATGGAGAACCCCATGAATGTCCCAATTCACAAACGACGGATAGCGCTCATGAAAAGCTTGGGAAGGCCGCAAGATGCTATCAAAGACCTGGTGGAATTCGTGGATTCCTTTCCCACCGACATGGAAGCTTGGTGTGAATTGAGCGACCTCTATCACTCACAGGGTTGCCTGCCACAAGCTATCTTTTGCCTCGAGGAAACTGTAATCATTGCACCCACTGCATGGAACCTTCATGCGCGACTGGGAGAGCTCGAATATCTAGCTGCCATGTCGTCAACGGAGAGTTCCGAAGTCGACAAACACCTGTCACAAGCAATCCGACGATTCAGTCGAAGCATTGAACTTTGCGACGATTATCTGCGTGGGTTTTACGGGCTAAAGCTGGCCACGGACAAGGTTTTGCTGACGAACACGACGTCTCGGGGGAACACCAGCTCGTCGATCACCCCGGACAAGGCGCAGAAATTAAATCAGCTGGCCACGTCAAGACTGCAAGCTATCGTCAAGGACCGCAGCGGCCGACGATCCTCCGGGACCGATCAGTCCGAACTCATTGCAGCCCAGCAATTGTTGAACAGATCCAAAGGCTGAACCATTCCGCAAATTTCCTGGGGCATCGAACCAGAAAGTAGCCCAAGTCATGTCGTTACTCCGAATGAAAGCGCATTGAAAAAGCCAACTGCGTACGGACGTCAGTGCCTTTTGGCACCAGAGGTGGACCAGGCGAAAGTTCCTGCAGAGAACCGAATGGACCGTGGCAGAAACCATGGTTTGGCGAAGATCATGTCAGATGCAGGCGTTTCCACTAGCGTGCTGCTGGAAGGTGGAAAGTTGGGCAGCATTTCGGCGCAAGCCAACGTGGCAGCATTTCTGAGGATGCCTCGATTGTCGCGACACCCAACCACCAGCGAATGAGGCTCTTACCCCGTCAGCGGCCGTGGGTCGTTTCTGCCCATCACGTCTAATTTAGAGTCACTGGAGCCTCGTCTTTCCGACAAACTAACAACCACGAGGTCAAGTCAAGAATCCCACCTTCAGGCCGCACCCGAGTTGAGGTTTTTGTTGGGAGAAGCACCAAATGGAACGGGTATCATCAGTCCTCCGACACCTAAGGCGAGGGTGAATATCAGGCTAATCCGCCCTGCGTTACGGAGAGTTGGGTGTCCCGGTGGCAATCTTGAAACCGGGTTGTTTCGGTTTCTGATATATAGACTGAGAATGCCATGACCGGTCAAGGGAAGGGGTGGAGGGCCATCTTTCTCGATATCAACCCAAATGTAGACCCATTGCATACGATTTGCGTGCACTTTTGTCACTCCCATTTTTGCCATTAATAATACCAGGCTCACTGCTCCTTTGACGTCTCCTTCCACGGAGCCCTCAATGTCTCAGAATCACAAATCCAATCGCGATCGAAGAAAGACAGCGCGCAAGAAGCGCTTAACACTACTAGATCCAATCCCTTACAGATCGCTTGCAACCAGGAGAGAATTTTCTGTACCACACTGCGTCACCTGAGTACCTTTTGGACAAGCTGCGGGTTGTTGTGGCGACGCTCTCCTGTCGCCAACTCACATCTTGCATTCTCCCTTTTCAGATTCTTGCGGGAGGCTCAATCTTTTCTAGTCTTCCCTTTGCACTGCTGTATCCATCGACGGGCCCTGCGGTTCGATCCTGCGGAATCAGTCCCTCCGGGGCGAAAAGCCGCACCAAAAAGTTCACGATAAACGGGGAACAAAAAAAAGAAACTGTATGAAACGACTGTCTGTACAAGACTTGGGTGGAATTGATATAACCGTTTCGAGGTCTATTTGGACCTAACCTCTGGGCAAGGGTCAGCGTCACCAAGGGCCAGGTTGTCCTGGGGAGACACACACCTTCATTCATTGCAAAAGGTGGTGGTGGTGCTGGTCGTCAGAGAGGCCTCTTGTTGACACACACCATCAACTAGCAACCACGACAACACCGTCCCAGACCCTCAGTGGACTGACGTGCGTTGACTGAAGCGTGGATTGAATATTCATTCTTGCATACTTGCATACTGGGGACAAGATTTTCCTCTCATTGACGTGGGTTGGTGCCTTGCAGCAAAAGAATTGGTGGCCTGGAAGACAGAGGGCAAGGGAGGAGTCAGACTGGGCACCCAGGCCGCTAAGCCCCACTACTACCAGATAGACTGCGCCCACAGCCCGCAGCCCGCAGCCTACTGTCTGCTGCCCACTGCCCACTACCCATTGCCGCAGCGCCCGCAGAGCGCCTGCACCCGGCGAATTAGGGGGGGATTCCATTGAGTGGGTGAGCAATTGGGCATCAGTCACCAATTTCATTTACCCCCCGCGCCCCCTTTTTTGGGCCATCCCGACTCCTTGGGCGGATCCCAGCATCCAGAATCTTGATCCCCCCGTCAAAAGTCAACACACAATCACGCCAAACAACCACATTGGCGTCAACAACCTGTCCACGCGCCTCACACACATTTGCAATCTGGGCAGCCATACTCACCGTCTCATCTCGCTACCCGTACAATTGTCACCTTGCCAACCTGCTCCTCCTCCTCCTTTTCCACTCTCGACATTCACAAACTTCCACCACATTCATACCCGTCGCCACCTTGCATTTCTGCCATTGAACTACGTTGTAATTCTCTTTCCCTCCCCGTCGCCTGATCGACACCCCCCCCTTCGGCTCCTCGCATATGCAACCTGTTCTGCCTCTGGCCCGACCCTTCGACCCTTCCCTCCCCACGGCCTCGGATCCACCTGGTCGGGAATTCCCACGACGCCCCTTCACGACAGCGAGACGCTACCGGTGGCACACCTGCAGGAGGTCATCACGCCCCTCTGCCAGGCCCTTTTGAATTTCTTCGACCACATTTGGCGCTGAAGGATACTGGTTTCAAAAAAAAATATCATACACTGGATCTGGCCCATTTGGACGGTCCTACTGCCTGAAGTCAGCCCTCTTTGGTCCGGTTAGCACATCCCTTGACACTAACATAACCCTCAAGGCTATCTCGTTCAGCCTTCCCTCTGGGGTAGGTTGAACGCGGTAATTCCTTGACCTCACTCAGTCTCTCATGGGGTGGGTTATTACACCGACACTTTCGCCCACCAGAGCTAACTCTCCTGCTGTTAGGTCTTCAGGTCGTCACAGTCATACACACATTGACATTACCCACATCTCTCGCTCTCCTTCCCCCGGCTCGCAAGACGACGAGCTCCACGAAACCGGTGTCCAGGTCTCAGCGGGCGTCTCCCCCCAATATTCAGTCATTCAGCCGACACAGAGTCAGAGCGGCTCCTCCTCACACCACGGTGATTTTGTCCAAGTGCTATATCCGAACGAAATTCCGGAGCCCGATGGCTCGGATTCTGCCTCGAGAATAGATCACCACGAAAGAGTACCACAATACGAGTCTCGATCCAATTCAGCAAGACGACAGGCGACACACCGTCAGCAGGCTATTCGTGAGCCTGCTCGCAGTCGCACCCGAGCATTGCAAGACACATCCCCGACGGAGAGTGGGGACTCGACCGAGGAGTTCCTTGCCAGGCCAGACCTGGGCTCTCACATGCCTCGTCCTCAATCATACTATGGGCCCAACGGGTATACTCACAGCAGTTCGTCAGCTTCATACCCATATCCTCCTGTGCCACATCCCGCAAATCAAGTGATTGCACTTCAACCACAGCCAATGGCTATGCCATACCCCCCTACCTACCCCCAGAGCCAGCCCGTGCCATATCCTCCTCATACGGCGTACCCAGGAGGCTTTAGTCACCATGCTCCTTCTCAAGTCAGCGCTCCATACACGTCATCCCCTTATGGCCCTGCGACGATCGTCAACTATGGTGCTCCACCGCCGCCTGCCAGCTACTATTCTCCTCAATATCCTCCTCCCTTTGGTGGCCAGCAGTACCCGCCACACTACATGCAGTACCCTCAACAAATGCCGTACCCATACTATGCTCCGCCAATGGCACCGTCCCCACAGCCAGTTTCCGCAAGTGCGTCTGC